CCAAAGGTAAATCACAAAGTGAAAGACTTCACTGAATGCATTCTTCCACCACATTATTCTTCAAAACATTCTCTTTTTTTGTGTATACTGTCTCAGTTCAGTCTCTAAAATCATTTATTTGACCGATGGAAAAATACAAATCTCTGTAAACAAAAAATTCTGGTTACATCCACATAGTACTTTTCTACTGAAATGTTATTTACCTAAAATTGAGGTAAAGATAGAACATTCAGTTTTCCTAAGGCAAGATGACTCCATCTGAGATCAGATGGAGTAACCCTATGCTCATACTGTGACCTATTTTCCTTTGTACATTGTATGGATGTAAATACTTTAAGTCTGCATGTTATTTTTTATGGCTTCTTTTACTTCAGGGTAAGGTACTTTATTCAATACATACATAATTTAAGCAAGACAGTGAAACCTCTAGTAAGCAGCATCTCAGACAAGCAATCTTTGTATTATGAATGTCCCCCAACCACTGCAAACATCCCCTGAGGCTTCTAATACTATATTATTCAGGCTCTGCTAAAAGGCACCACCGCTAGTCAACACATTTTTCTGACAGATTTAACACTATATATTCTGCACTGCAGTTCAGAGAAAAAAAAAAAAAGATCCATATAAAAAGTAACTAAATCAATTTATGTCAGAAAACACTAACTCAGATTGGGACTGATACAGAATAGTTACTGCATGTTCTGTGACTCATTTGGCAGTAATATGATCTTTACAGATACCTAATGCAGAGCAGTACTCCAAAGTGAACAGAAAGGATTCTTGACGAAAAATAATGATCAAATTAAAGTAAAAATAAATCCAGGTTGTAACGATTGATAGGTGAAAACATTAGACTTTTCTTTACTGTCTTTGAAAAAATAAACAAGCTTTAACCAGGTATTATATTCTGCTTGCCAGTACAGAACAGAAACACACACCTTAAACAAGGCCTTTTTATGAGCTACTGAATGCTTCCACTGGTGTCCAGATCTTTAAAACTGGAAACTGCTCATGATCCTGTATATGGAGCAATGTATATTGCTCCATATACAATAACCTCACTAACACCACTGAGGAGCTGTTCTCCTGGGTCGCAGTGTGTACGGAAGAATGACCTCTGGCCAAGCAAGCACAGGTGTATGTGTCTGCCAGCTGCCAGGCAGGAAGACTAGAGAAGAGTCCCCTTACTCCTCTCAAAGTGTAGAAGTCAGAGGTGAAATGTTTTGTATCAACTAAACATTATTTTGTAACACACTTTTGAAGTGATGCTTTCAGAAATAAAGCGATGCCAGGCAGAAGTGTGGTGGGTGTGATGGTTGGTGGGAGCTGAATCCTACCTCTGGGCTAGTGAGTCTGCTGACTGGTTGCATTGTCCTGTGACCCACTTCCTCCCACGTTAAGGTAATGTTAGCTGTTCAATATGGCATAAATACCAATGAATGTCAAGCTTTGTTTGCCTTTGCACCTGCCAAGGGGCTTTTTCTTATTTTTGTTCATGTTGCTGTAAGGTGTTTTTTTTACATTTTGTGCAAGTGGATTTGAAGTGTGCACCCCTTCTACTTACCCAGAAAGATATCTCAAATCTGTTCGATTACAGGGTGGCAGAAACCAGACTGTATGTAACAAACCTTACTTCGGGGATAGTGAAAATTCCATCTCTAAGTAACGAAGGAAAAGTCACAGTGTGTATGACAGCAGAACAGGAACCACAGTACCGTAAGACACACAGAGACCTTTCTGTCTTCTCTTATTTGGTGCAAAAAAGTCATCATGTGCAAAGCAGAAACATGGTTTCTCTCTCCTAAAAAAACAGCATAGTATTTCCTTGTTCTCCATTTCCTTTGTTCTTCAAAAGACAGGCCTGGCAGGCGGGGAGGGGGAGTTGCCCTTTATGTTAGGGATAGGCTAGAGAGTGTGGAACTCTGTTTGGGGACAGGTGAGCAGTTAACAGAGAGTTTGTGGGTCAGGGTTAAAGGGAGAACAGCGATGGGAGACATTCCTGTGGGGATCTGTTACAGACCGCCTGATCAAGAGGAATCTGCGGATGAAGCACTCTATAGGCAGATAGGAAAAGCCTCATGCTCACAGGCCCTCGTTCTCATGGGTGACTTCAACCACCCTGACATCTGTTGGAATGACGGTACGGCCCCGCACAAGCAATCCAGGAGGTTCCTCGATTGTGTGGAAGACAACTTCCTTCTGCAAGTAATAGAGGAGCTGACAAGGAGAGGTGCCATGCTTGACCTCGTGCTCACCAACAGGGAAGGGCTCGTTGGAAATGTGGCACTGCAGGGCAGCCTTGGATGCAGCGATCACGAGATGGTCAAATTTGAGATCCTCAGGACAGTGAGAAGAGCGTGCAGCAAGCTCACTGCCCTGGACTTCAAGAGAGCAGAATTTGGCCTCTTCAGGAACCTGCTTAGTAAGGTTCCATGGGCTATAGCCCTACCTAGAGGGCAGGGGGGCCCAAGACTCTTGGTTGATATTCAAGGATCACCTGCTGCAAGCTCAGGAGTGTTGCGTCCCAACTAGAAGGAAGTGCAGCAGGAGGGCCAGGAGACCTCCTTGGATGGATAAGGAGCTGCTGAGGAAAATTCAAATGAAAAAAGAGTCTTATAGAAAGTGGAAGCAAGGACAGGCGGCCTGGGAAGAATACAGGGATGTTGTCCGGGAAGCTAGGGACCAGGTTAGGAAAGCTAAGGCCCAGTTAGAATTAAACTTGGCTAGGGATATTAAGGATAACAGGAAGGGATTCTACAGGTACATAGCAAATAAAAAACAGATTAGGGAGAATGTAGGCCCCCTCAGGAAGCTCTCGGGTGAACTAGCTACACAGGATTTGGAGAAGGCTGAGGTTCTGAATGACTTCTTTGCCTCGGTCTTCACTGGCAAAGGCTCTGACCACACCACCCAAGTCTTGGAAGGCAGACGCAGGGGCTGTGAGAATGAAGACCTTGGGCCCACTGTAGGAGAGGAACTGGTTTGAGACCATCTTAAAAATCTGAACATGCACAAGTCCATGGGTCCTGATAAAATCCATCCACGGGTCCTGAAGGAGCTGGCGAATGAAGCTGCTAAGCCGCTGGTCATCATATTTGAAAAAGCATGGCAGTCAGGTGAAGTTCCCAACAACTGGAAAAAGGGAAATATAACCCCCATTTTCAAGAAGGGGAAAATGGATGACCCGGGGAATTATAGACCAGTCAGTCTCACCTCTGTGCCTGGCAAAATCTTGGAGCAGATTCTCCTGGAAGGCATGCTAAGGCACATGGAAAACAGCAAGGTGCTTGGTGACAGGCAGCATGGCTTCACTAAGGGGAAATCCTGCCTGACCAATTGGGTGGCCTGCTATGATGGGGCTACAGAACTGATGGACAGTGTGCCCTCAGTAAGTTTGCCAATGACACCAAGCTGTGTGGTTCGGTTGATACGCTGGAGGGAAGGAATGCCATCCAGAGGGACCTCAACATGCTTGTGAGGTGGGCTGATGCCAACCTCATGAAGTTTAACCATGCCAAATGCAAGGTCCTACACCTGGGTTGGAGCAATCCCAGGCACAGCTACAGGCTGGGCAGAGAAGAGATTCAGAGCAGCCCTGCGGAGAAGGACTTGGGGTGTTGGTCAATGAGAAAATGAACATGAGCTGGCTTCAGTGTGCGCTTGCAGCCCAGAAAGCCAACCGTATCATGGGCTGCATCAAAAGGAACGTGACCAGCAGGTCGAAGGAGGTGATCCTGCCCCTTTATTCTGCTCTCGTGAGACCTCACTTGGAGTATTGCGTACAGTTCTGGTGTCCTCAACATAAAAAGGACATGAAACAGTTGGAACAAGTCCAGGGAACGGCCACGAGGATGATCAGGGGACTGAAGCACCTCCCATATGAAGATAGGCTGAGAAAGTTGGGGCTGTTCAGCCTGGAGAAGAGAAGGCTGCGTGGAGACCTCATAGCAGCCTTCCAGTATCTGAAGGGGGCCTATAGCGATGCTGGGGAGGGACTCTTCATTAGGGACTGTAGTGATAGGACAAGGGGTAGGGTAACAGGTTCAAACTTAAACAGGGGAAGTTTAGATTGGATATAAGGAGGAAGTTCTTTACTGTTAGGGTGGTGAGGCACTGGAATGGGTTGCCCAGGGACGTTGTGAATGCTCCATCCCTGGCAGTGTTCAAGGTCAGGTTGGATGAAGCCTTGGGTGGTATGGTTTAGTGGGAGGTGACCCTGCCCATGGCAGCGGGGTTGGAACGAGGTGATCTTAAGGTCCTTTCCAACCCTAACTATTCTATGATTCTATTATTTCATTATTTTTATGATGTATGAACTTCTATAGTAAAAAATATTCAGATGTTGACTACAATTAAATAGCATTTAAATATAACCCGTGAGTGTATCAAGTGGAAAAAAATACAAAATAGCTGAAAGAATCGTAATAAACAATGACAATCCAGGAGAAGAGGCTACATAAAATACTGGGATGTTCTTCCTGTCTACGAGGTAAACTAACCTGAACAAATTCTGAGGTTCCTAGCTCAGGATTTTATGCTAAGGATATAGACAAATTATCACAGTTACTGGTGTTATCATGAAACATCATTCTTGCTGCTGATTTATGCTCTGTGTAACTACTGCCCCAGAGAAAAGCTGACTTATGACCTCCCCACCCAAAGCAATTCTCTCTTAACTTGTTTTCACAACTTCTCTTCTGTGCCTAAAACCTGTACAGCTGAATTGTTGGTATCAGTAACTCCATTTGATAAAAGGTTCACAACGTTTAAAACCTAAATTAAACCCCAAAGTGCTAACCTGGTGATGCATCTATCTGAGAGGAGATTATTTTGGGGATGTTTCAGTTGCCAAACAAAAGGAAAATTTTCTATCCCTTGCATATTAAAAATATTACTTCAGACTGCAATGTTGTTCAGCTGTTGGAATGAAGAAACAGACATAAACAAAAAGTTATGGGTCAGCAAATATAGAGCTTAGCACTCTTAACTGGGTCAGAACATTTCAGTATAATTCTTTATGCAGAGCCTCCATAATTTTCATTTAGCAAAGTTCATACCTATTACTGTACAACTCTTTCAATACAAAGTGCTATGTAGGTGGTACATATTATTATGATGTTACTGTTTGCTACTGTAAACAGTATTTAATGAGCACAGCACTAGATAATTTGTTTATGTTGCCTCAAATTAAATAATGAAACCAACTTTTGAAATACATATTTTTAACTGACAGGATGCAAACAACAGAAATGGTCATTTGGGCTGAAATGTTTTAAACAACTTTACATTCCAATTCACTTCATACATGAAACACGACTGAAACGGTCAACTTTTAGAAACTGTGTTTATATCAATGCTAATATCAATAAACTTCATTTTAAATTCCTGCAAAGGGTATACTCTAATGGAAAAGAAATTACTCACTTTACTAACTACTTCTGAAGTGTAAAAGTCTGATGAGTTTTAAAATGTTGTTCAATATTGTATGTGCAAAACTGCATTTAGAGTCTTCACAGGACTCGAAGCGGCCAGACATCTCTTGTACCATCTCTTCTACCTGAATACATTAAAAGACATCAGGTCTGCGGTTTCTGTTAAGCCCGATGGTGACAGCTGCTGGGAAACTGTCACTCCTGTGCTTTCAAACAGCTTGTCTGGATATGGGAAATTTGCAGAACTGGAAGCAATAGCTGGAAAGCATCCTGAATATAAGTAGTACTGTTGCAACCCTAATGGGGAGAGAAAACGTGGTTCATCAGTAGAGCTGTCATGTACTTCAGGAATCACGTTTTAAATTACATTATTTTTTGTTTTACATCAGCATCATGCTACATTAGCATATGGATTCACACAAGATTTTAGACTCTGCAGGTAACAAAAATGATAAACTACAACAATTTACAGCTAAAAAGGACAGCCTGAATCACTACATAAAAATCTGATTTCCCCTCAGTCAAACTCTTGGACAGTTTTGTTTGCAATGTGAGTAGAATAAAATGCCAGTGTTCAGAAGTAGATTTGTTTTTTTAAATACAAACCAGTTAGTCTCTCCATCAGCAGAACTAAGTTTGAATTTGCCGTAGGTGGAAGAAGAAATACTAAAATTAAGTTTGAATTATTGTACTGGTTTTAACACACAGTGCTATTTTTGGCATTTCTACTACTGAACATAGCAGTTTAGCAGTTTGTATTTTCCCATGACCCTAGGCTGTACTTATATGTATTTGTATACAAATACAAGATGTATGAAGTACAAAACATCATATCCCACAATTCTGGACACTCCCAAATTTTGCAGTTCCTGAGGCATGGAAAAATATGTCAGCTGCAACAGCAAATTTACCCCGTAACAAGAAGAACCACATAGTAATCTTTGCTACAGCTCTATTCAACTTTCCATGTTTTTTCTTAAAGGTAGTGTTAATTCAATGCAAAATCGCTTATTGTAAAATAATCTTTTCCTCATTGTTAAGGGAACACAGCTATTAGATACAGAATGACAATCTGTAGTCACTGCTTCATGTTTATTTATGTTTGAAGAGAAGTGTGATCTAATTAGCAGAGTTAAAAGAATTTGCGCTGCAGATAATATACGTTTTAGTACTTCATAAGCATATTACTCTCTCTTGACCTCTCTTCTCAGTAAAACTGAGGCACATTTTACTCACTGTGCTTTTCTGATGTGTCTAATAGAAGAGGTCACTCATAGGTCATGGCATCTAATAAACTAAATCACTCATGAACACTGTGGTGGTGTCTGACACATGGTTATCCCTGTGCTGACCAAAGCCTGCTCTGCTGCTAGATTGTGACTCTGTAGAAATCTAAATACCTGTGGATGGGAAGCACTGTAGCACACCTGCAATACAAATTTTAAACAAAAGAATAGCCTGAAACTATCTGTGAATCAGAAATACTTTGCAATACTTGAAGTAGTTAATAGAACAGTAAGAACACGCTTATTCCAGACAACTTGTGAATAGGCCAGAAAAGGGCTAAAGAGCACATCACAAAGTATCTGCTGAGCTGTGACAGCAGCAGAATTTCAGAGCAGGCCAGTCTCACTTCAGTCATACAGTTCTTTAGGATCCTCACTAAAATGATGTTCCTAAATGAAATATCTCCAATATTACTACTATAGCATCTGTGGGAGAAGCTAAACACAAAATCAAGAGATGTATGAGCTAGCACTGAACAGCCAGAATTATATTGTTATTACTGTTTATATAGTTCTTTCTTCAGATACAAATATGACTGTTTCATTTCAAAATCGTTTTACTAGAACATCTCCCAACATGAAATAAGTGAAGGCTTACCTCTAATAGCACACTGTTGATGATGGGGTTAAGAACCTCTGCCTTCATACTATTCTGTAAACCAGAAAATAGAATGAAATGCCAGGACATGAAATACATTTAACAGAAATATACTGATATCTGAGAAGTGGTTTTATGAATTCTATAAAGGTCTTGCTTCACCTTGATTCTTATTCATGCTGTTTATCATCGTACTCCTGATAACCACATCTACATTCACACACAGTTCAGTAGACCCTGCATCTTTCTATCACTGAGTACAAGGAACTAAAACAGGCTGAGGGGGTTCCTTCCTTACTAATTCATGGAGTTTGAAATTGCCTGGTTTCCTATGGATATGAGATTTATGTGAGATTATCTGTCCATGTGTCTGTCAGTGCCCTTTTCAACTCTCCCAATGTTTTTTAATTTTCAAGGAAACAAGAAGGAAAAACACAGGTCAGGAGGAAAATGAAGTTTTTAGGAGTTTCAAAAATATCTGTGGTTAGGAGGAAATGAAAGGCCAAGAGCAGCTCCCTTACAGGAGGAAAAACAGGTGGAACTCAGATCCCCAAACTGGAAGCAGTGTATATTGAGCTGGACAATGCAGGCTGGACAGTAAACATAGCATTTTTCTCCACTACCAGATAGGAGTAACAGTGGGTACACAGAATCACAGAATGTCTGGGGCTGGAAGGGACCTCTGGAGATTGTCTAGTCCAACCCCCTGCTAAAGCAGATTACACAGGATCTCGTTCAGGAGGGATCTGAATATCTACAGAGGACACTCTACAAGCTCTCAGGGCAGCCTGTTCCAGTGCTAATGCCACCCTCCACATAAAGAAGGGTTTCCTTATATTCAGATGGAACTTCCTGTGTTTCAGGTTGTACCTGTTGCCCCTTATCCTGTTGCTGGGAACCATAGAATAGTCTGGCCCCATCCTCTTGACACCTGCCTGTAAGGTATGTACAATGCATGTAGAATGAGCAGTAAGACTATTAGAGGCTAGGAAACCAGGATTCATCAACTTCTCAGCTTTTTAAAATGGCAAAAGTTTGTTCCTTTCTTTATTTCCACTGGGTTTTTTTAAGAAAGACAGTAACCTCCAGCTCCAGCAAAATCTGCTTTCTTTCAATACCAAACAGTGGGCTTTATTATAGCAAAGGAAACACAATACTAATTAATTTAACTGAAGGATTTCCTTACAACCTTGTAGGTTTCATATTACAGATTTAAAGAAACATGAAATACCTTAATTTTAGCTTGGAGAAAGATTGCAGAATCAAAGGGAAGATAGTTAGAGAAAAGAGCAACTCTACTGTAAGTTATTAGAAAATCCATTATGAAGTGCACTGTTTACATGATTGTCAATAAACTGAAACAGAGAGCAGCATCAATTAAATACTATTGATTGTATGAATCAGTAAGTTGAAGTTTGAAAGAAATCTTGCATAGCAAGCAAAGCTGTTATTTCTTACTTCTGTGTTACTACTCACTCTGCAATATTGCCAACATTATAGATTATGTGTACAACCACCACTACAGCTACTGCCTCTATTACACAGCCATAAGGATGGCATTATGTTTGAAAAAAATTGTACTTTCCATTCTAAGCCATTTCTCAGTTTCCCACAAGTCACTGCACTTTGTAGAGTACTGGAATGTGTTTGCAAACCTGGGTGCTGTTGGCAGGCTAAGGAGGAAATCGAAACCTTGGGACATGAAGGAAGATGTGGGTTTTCTACAGTCCTACAGTGTGACAGGTGCTCTTTGCTTTCCTACTGATCCTGATGAACAGAAGGTCCACATCTTTCTCCAAGAGCTTACAGGGATGGGACAGCACATGAAGATCATCAGACTGTCCTTCTAGAAATATCTTCTAGAGAGTATTTTAGCAGTGGAAAATGTCTTTGTGCTCAATCTTTTTTGTGTCCACACAAATATCCACAAAATCTGGTCCTAAAACTGAAAATTCAGTACAGAGTTGACAAGAACAAACCCCAATGCAATGCTAGCAAAAGCTTTAATATTTCATGAGCAAGTTATTTTTATGTCTGTGCATGTACTTATTGCAACTGTCACACAAAGATACGCTAAAATACAATCCTAAAATGCAAAATAAGCAGTTTCTTCCAGAGTAATGGGAAGGAATGTAAATTATTCAGAATAAAAACAACCCAATAAATCATATTCTCCACAAATAACTCAGAAAAAAATTGCTCAGAGATGTGCTGGAAGACTTTATGGGAGAATTGGGAAAATTTCCTTTGATGTACTTTCACATTTTCATGGAGTAATCAGAAGAGCCAGAGTTTGTTTTTCTCTGATGTTTACAGAACAATTTCAGCAACAGCACAGTTTTTCCCTCTGGATCCTTTTGTAATAGTCAGATATCTGTCACTCATCTTTGAAATGTCTTGAAAGGCAGGATACTATTTCTAGCAAAGCTGTTCACAGATAAATGGATGTTCCTAAATGACGTATCTTGATATACAAGATGGAGTGGTTTGGTTTTGGTTTTGGTTTTGTTTTTTTAAGATGGGCAACCAAAGAGATTTTCTAATCTCTTAAACCATTTGAAAACAAAGTGGCCCTAGTACAGGGGAATTAGCAAAGGCTAATGAAGCCATCTTAAGGTGCTGGAATCTGTCAATGACTTACACAAATGTATTCAAAAGGGACAGACTGAGTAGGAGAAGAAAATACCATCAGGCTTGTGGGAATTCAAATGTGGGGCCCTTCCAGTACAAGAAGGTAAGAGTTTCTGAGTGGTAACAGGGAAAAATTAGAGAGCTTTTAGAAGGCAGGGGACACACTGCAGTCTATTGAGGCTTATAAACTCTCTGCAACTGGGAATTTGCTGTAAAAATGCTCTGTGTTCTTGATCTGAGGAAAGAAGTGCCCATTTTGCTGGTGCCTCAGGTAAAGCCACCAGACCCAGGTAACAATTTCTGTTTCAGGAAGTGAACTATGCTAAAAAAAAACAAATGCTACAAAAAATTGCTTTTATCTTACCCCAGCTGCTGTTACAGAATCGGAAAATTTCTTGGATAAAGATGAAACTTCATTGCACATGGCATTTGTTAAGCTGGTTTAAAAAAGAGAGACAAATATAAAAATACATCCTTGTCCAGTTAATGGCTAAAACCCCTATGACTGTCCTAGGCACACACTTCATCTTAGAAACCAAGAATGTTAGGGCAGTGTTGCTTCCAGTAAGTTTTTAAATATTTTGGGGTAGACTTTGTCATGATACAGTTTTTATATTCCTCCGCTGAAAAATCCATGGCTGACTACAGCAGCAAACTGATGTCATGTTGGCTCAAACGCTGGTCTTTTCTGGTAGGGCAATGTTTCCATTTGTTAAAGTCCAAACTTCTAGTTTAACTACTGTTTTCCTGATGATTGCAGCAATACAACTCCTACAAATTCTACTGGAAATAAATCAAACTTTAATGAGAGCAGTGAGAAGTTTCCTATCTAAGCAATAAAATATCTACTCTAAATGTACTAAAAAGGAAGTACCCTTGTGGTTAAAACATAAGCAAACAAGGAGATCTAGTTCTATTCCTAGACCTTTCAGTATTTTGTTAAACAGTCACAAAATGCATCACCTAGAACCTCATCCTGCAAAGCGCACCATACCTTATCTCTAATTTGGAAAAATACTTGCTCAAGTACATTGTTTTAGACTGAAGTGTTTCTTATGGCCTTTGCTATTGTTACTAGCATTCCTGACGATAAACACTTAAATAATTTACTTACTTAAAGTAAATTATTAAACTCAAGTGCTTACCACACCTTAATATCAACACCCACTGAAATCAGTAGAATTGATTACTACAGAGAGCTTGAGATCTGAATTTTGAGTCCCACTAGATAAATTGGCTTCTTCGATTTATGTATGTTTTGTCATGGTTTACTGCAAAGTTGCTGACAAACGTGGTCTTGATTAGAGCTGCAGACTGACTTTTCTGTATTTTTTGGCAGATAAACTGTAGATAATGAAACTCTTATTGGCAAATAAGATGACTACATTGTACACTCTAAAAGCAAACTGTATGCATAGGAAATGCAACCCAAATTAGCACGTACTTTCATTTGCTGGAGCAGAAACGACTTTCAGACTGTGAACAAGGCATGTTTTTGTAAACGTACATATGTTGCCCACATCAGAAAATGACAGGTAGCTTACATAACTTGATTACATGAGAAAATGTACCACCAGGACCCCTAAACCTAGTGCTGTTTGTTGATCCATGAACTTAGTGTGCCTCAGGTGCCAGAAACTGAACAGACCTTCATGAGTTTCAAGCAAATGTTTGTATTACTCACTTTGTCAGTACTTTTGCTTGATCTTGAGCTGTTTTTTCCACTTCCTGCCCATGCAGAATTAATTCTGCTACTTTATGAAGCTGTTCAATGCAACGAGCAGTTACCTCAGCCAGACTTTCAATGGACAGCATGTAGATTTCCTTAAATTAAACCAGGAAATAACACAATCGGTAATAACAACACTGATAATTATATTTATAGGCATATATATAGGAAAGAATCTGAAACATTGGAGCCCTCCCTGCTCCAATGGGAAATGCTGCCACAAACACAGTGAAGTAATATCAGCTATAATGTCATCCTCACAAAAAATACTGGAAAATTAAATATTCACACATTATAAAACACAGACCTTATCCTCATCCTGAAAAACTAATAAGAACAAGTGTACTGTTTATTTGTATGGAAACTAGGTCAGGGTCTCAGATTTTCTAACATAGCACTTTTAAACTTAGTCCTAACAAATACAAAGATTCCTTAAGTCTAGAATAAGTCATAATTAATTTCATCTGTAGTGAAAAGTACTGAGTCATCCCTCATATCACTCTCCAGAGTAGAAATAGGTAATATTCCCAGTAAGAAAGTGGCTTTTTTCCTCAATGATGAAAATTCTACCCAGCACTATGGCACTACACCTTTCACAAGACGATGCCAGCTGGAAATTTGCAATCACTTAAAAATCAGTAATATATGCAAGTGTAACTCTGCCTCCTTCTTTGGGCCTTTTTGTAAGAAAACGTAAGAGATAATTTCTTTATTAGAATTAATTAAAAAAAATCTTGACAAAGATTCCAACCACATTTAATATTGCTGTAACTTGGTGTAAAATATTCAATCAAAATCAACCTTATCAACAAGAGGGGTTACCTAAATGGACACAATGCTTTTAGCCTTAAGGGTTATCTTTCCTAAAGAGAATGAATACTTGTGAGTTGCCTAAGGAATATTTCTGGTTTGTCTGTTTGTTATTTAAACTGCTCAAGAGTTTAAATAGGTGGAGAACTTCTTCCATGCACTGTCACTGGGACAAAGAGATGCCAAGAATGCAATATGCTATCATCGTTACGCCACAGAATCTCTCAGCTTGCTGTGCTGCATGTTGTGCATACACATGCATACACATAAAAGCACAGATATGAAAAAATAAAACCAATGCATGAAGCAGAGGACGTGCTACTTTGATGTTTTCTTACAGGAACAGACTAACAGTAGAAATACTAATGTAAGTTAGTTTCCTATTGGGTTTACAGTGAGTAGTTAGATGTTAGTATTTCTTAATACTTCCATGAGCTTAAAAAATAAGGACAATGCATAACACTGACACACAAAGATAAAAAAATAATCTTATCAAAGTATAACAATTTTTTAAATGAAACTTATCCTCTAAAAGCTAATTACCTCCACAGTTTTGTTTTTATTTATTTCTGGTTTATCACTGTCAGTTTTTTCTTCTTTTTCAGCGCTTTCTTCACCAGGTTCTCCAGGTTTTGCTTTTACCTTCTCTTCTATATCTACTGGTGTGGAAAAAGTGGCTCCTTCTAGCCACTCATGAGCTTTTTTCCTAGCCTGCCAAACAAAGAACCCAACCCCAAAGTTCAGTTCAAATACGGAATATCAAATTATGGTCCTGAGCATTAATTTACAATATATTTAATACTTCCTTTTTACATTTAGAAGTTTAAACATATCAAGCCTCTGTGTGGAATTCAGTTAAGTGTATATTTAAGAAACTGGGGGGAGAAGCATTCCTGGCTGTTTAAAGATGGATCAGTCAGGGATAAGTCCTCTACAGGTAGGATACTCCTAACCAGCACATAGAGCTGGCATTAAAACAAAGTTACTAATATTTCAGCTTTAGGAGGCATCTTTCAAAGGAATTTACATAAGTATAATTTTCCAAAATAATGAAAATAAGGTGGTGGTATAAAAAAAGAAAAAAAAAAAGGTACTGGAGAGGTAAGAGAGATGTACTAAATTCTTAAAGGAAAAAGAAGTAGAAAACCACTGTATCTTCAGCTGCCTTGCCAGGCACGAAAGTAGATCAAAGTGGAAAAGCCTTGAAGTTCTACACAACTTCAGGCTACTGTTAAGGTTAGTAAGATATTTATGATGTCTCTTTTTTAACATGAAGTTAAATTAAAATATGTTATGCCTTAAGCCTAAGCTAGTTATCCAAAGTCTATATATGCAGCTAGAGAGATAAAGATTCATCTGAGCCTAAGATAAGCAGGTGAATCACCTTTAGAAGGGCCTGATAGTACAAATGTGACTAGAGATGTGACTAGCTTCTAGCACTTTTAGATGATTTAAGCTAGATGGGATAAAGCCAAGACTTCGCTTCCGGCTAAGAAGGCTGGAGAAGTCCCTCAGAAGAATAAACACGATGAGCAAGAAAAATAATTGTGAACCTGACCTTTTTTCCCAGTATGCAAGACCAAATCTGCTGTGCTCATGAATTCTGTTCTGCTGAGACATCCCTAGGTCAAGGCTTTCTAAACAGGGCCTGTTGTGCTAGCTAGTCACTGTGACTGTATTGCCTTACTAATCTCTCTTCTCCTCAGAAAGCTTTTCTGTATTCATCATTTTAGTCCCACCCTCCTGTACTTTTCTTTCTAAACTGTCTGCAGTGAGCTAGGTACTGCTCTGTGTCAGATTTGAGAACAAAGCCTTCTCTTTTTGTTGAAGAAACAGAGGCAGCTCACTTAACAGGTGCTAACCTTATTTAGTTTGTCAGGAGTAGCAGCAACATGCAATTCAAAGAGCAGTTCAGTGAGCATGCTGACAAACTCTTCTCCCATATCTGCTGCAAGAAAAAACAAGACAATTTCTGTTAGGGTGTTATCACTATAATATCTTACGCGATCAAATACATTGGGTCAAATAGTTTCCCCAGGCACTCTGGCACTTGAAAAACATTGACTGTGGTGAAAGAAAGGGATGGGTGGGTGTGTGCGTGCATATGCTCAAACAAAGAAAAGAACAAGCAAGAGAGATACCTGCAAAACCTGATATGCTAGCCTGGGTCTTCCATTACTCTTTCTACCCCATTCTAAATTCCACTAAGTTTCACAAAAACAGGTAAGAGGAGAAGAAGCTGTATGATCCCTAGTTATCTGACAATATATGACTGTCCTGGGTTCAGCAGTAGCAGTCATTTTTCTCCTTGGTAGCTGGTGCAGTGCTGTGTTTTGACTTTTGGGCTGGGAACAGAACTGATAACAATGATGTTTTGGTTTGGCCAAGGACTTTGTGAGCCTCATGCTCTGCCAGGGAGGAGGGGAAGCCGGGAGGAAGCAGAGACAGGACACCTGACCCAAACTAACTAAAGAGGTATTCCATGCCACAGCACATCATGCCCAGGATGTAACTGAGAGTTACCCGGAAGGGCTAGGGGACTGCACGGTTGGAGGAAGTATTGGTCGGTGCTTGGTTGGGCTGGTGGGGGCGAGTTATTGGTCGGCTGGTGATGAGGTGTTGTATTCTCTTCCCTTGTTATTTCCTTTATCATTATTATTATTGGTGGTAGCAGTAGTGATCTGTGTTATACCTTAGTTACTAAACTGTTCTTATCTCAACCCGTGGGAGTTGCATTCTTTTTGATTCTCCTCTCCGTCCCTCCAGGAGTAGGGGGAGAGCAAGGAGGGGAGTGAGTGAAAGAGCTGTCTGGCTGGGTTTAAACCACAACAATGACCGACAAAATAACTGAAGATACTAACCTATTCTTTCAAACCAAGGAATAAAAACTGCAGCAGAGCCAGATACAAGTTTCAGAGGAAACATACTAGAAAACACTTTCCCTATTGCTCTGTCTGCAAACCACACATAGAGATGTCTTTTCTTTCTATTTTAAGATTGAGATTTGCTTCAATGAAGAATGTTTTCTCTTCTGCTTTAGAGTAATGAGCCTTAAAGTATCTGCAGTTTTATTTCACAAGATTTTTGAGCAAAGATAAATATCATTAGTATTTGAATGTCATCATTATTATATATATCCCTTTGACTACTTAGAGTTGCTTTATTTTAACACACTCAAAGTTCCTAAAAGTTGGGATTTTAGTTGGTTCTGTTCACCTGCACTTACGGAGTTTGGATTCTTAATTAACATTTCCTGAAGGAATATATAAAATCCATTTTTTTTTAGCCTGAGGACGCTAAAAGGTCAAAGTCCCCATACAGAGCCTGGTAAAAGTCTAGCTATTTCAAAAATTAATTTAAATGTCTTGCAATATTCTGACTATTTTTTGTTGATTTATTAGGTAGGGCCAGTTTTTCCAACTGGCATGCAAATTTGATTTGATTTATGCAAATCATCAGTACTGGGCTTAAAAGTGGAAGGCCATTACTCTCCAAGGAGTTTAGGGATTTTGGTAGAACTGTCTACAGTTCACAATACCTTGCAACACGTGGAAAGGTGGTGGAATCTGATGCTCAGATTATACTCTGTTAGAACAAAGGACATCTCACCCTTACTTGTAAAGAGAGTGCCTATAGAATCACAAAATGGTTAGGGCTGGAAAGGCCCTTAAGATCATCTAGTTCCAACCCCCCTGCCATGGACAGGGACATCTTTGGTGATAGAAAATAAATTAGTATTTAGCATGAAGAACTGCTCACCTGCAATGACCAAAAGACTGAGCTTTCCTCTTAACAACAGGGGAACAGGTCAAGATCGTGTTCTGGCAGGCCAGAGAAGTACAGAGTTCGTTTCATTGCTGCCCTTATCAGCAAATTTTGGCAACATGATTTTTCAGGTTTTGCAACACAGCACCTCTTGGATACACTGAATTCACTTGTTCTTAAAGCAATGCCAAATCATTTTATAAACTGCAGCATGATGCAAACTGGTAAGCAGTTCACTGGATCAACGTAAACTTACCAAAATTTTTGATAACTGGCATATTCAATTTAATATTCACTTTGGTTCCCATCGCCCTTAACCTCACACATGAAATTTTTGGTGTGTAGGAAAAACTACTTTTTCAGATATTCTCCTCTCATTATTTCATAAACAACTGAAAAGAAAAGAAGCTGCAGTGAAAAATACGTGGAAGGGTTGCATAATCAAAGAGGAAACATTAGAGAGAAGGGTATGCATTTGGCTTTCTCCTACTTGTGTCAGAAAATGTCTTTTCCTTTCTGTCTTTTCATATGGATTTAGTACCTGTCTGGCTGTTAAGCAAAGGTGCAAAACGAAAAAACCCTTAAAATTCCAGTTTCAAGGTTGCCAAGAACAAGCTCAAATCCTTTTCGCAAAACACTCCCCTGAAGATTGCTGCAGTTATTTCCCGTTCTGCAGGACTGAAAGAGTTTAGAGTAGCAGCTAAACGCAGCACTACCATATCTGAATGCGATTCTGAGAGTCTAGGCTACCCTTTCCAAACACGGGAATGCAAAAGTATCGGTCTTCCTCCCAGTTGAGTATGTATAGCACTGGCAATTGGCACCATACAAATACTATTACTTGGGTGATGAGAAAGTGGTAATAAATTAGCAATAAGTGGTAATTAGCTTGTTTTCAAATACTGCTCAGTGGCTAAATAAGATTTAACAAACACTGTTAATCTCTGTCTTTCCTAACTTTTCTGAAGGCTAGAGAAACCACACCTCACCATCTTGCAAAATGTAGGTTTTAAGGGCAAAGGACCCTTGAGAAGGTCAAGCAGATGTGGAAGAGATACCTTTTTGTTTCTGAAACACAACAACACAGTATTCAATGGCATAAACCAGTCCTCAATCAGATTAAAGGGGTTGTTTCTATCAGCTAGAAGAGGTCTGGTACGGATCTCACAGGCCTGTAGACGTGAACTACAATGACTTTAACTTATCCTTCTGTTCTGGGGAATGCCAACATTCCCAACCTGTTTAAGACACTTATTTTGCTCCTAACTGATTTTACTGTAACCTTTGTAAGCTGATCTATGGACAGTCATGCCGGTCCTGTTCCCTTCAATGCTGTGTACTAGGTCATAGTTACAGCATGCTTCTGTTGCCTTAACTTATTTTTCACACTCTGCACCCCATGTCTTGCCAAACAATACCTAGAAAGCAGCGTTGCCACTATGTTTCAAAGTGACTTCCCCTCAAAAAGTTCAGGATTATTAAGTCTCTTTATTACACTCTAATTTTTTCTCTGTCTAGCAAGGGAGGGTGCAAAGTGAGGATGAAGTTGCTAAACAGAAAAGCATTGCTAAAGACTTCAAAACTTTCAGATTACACAATTTCATAAACAGATTCTGTAAGAAAAACTCAGTTATCCAAAAGGTTATTATTTTTTGTTCTTATTTTTATTTTGCTTTCACTGACAACAAAGCAAAATAATATAATACTTCCTGATGTTATATTTTCTACATCTCACAGTTCAATTACCATATAAATTCAAAATGAAGCATTGATTAACTTCCAGAACTTCTGGTATATTAATTTTAGTGACTACCTTATGAAGAGTATTAGATATCAGAAATTATATTTTGCATTGTAGCATTTTAAATCACTGTATACAGAAGTAACAATTATCCATGTGGTTAAGTTTCTGTTTTTCTAATTACCTTTCTGTGCCTGCACCACTTCATCGTCTGATTCCTTTGGAACAAAGATCTCTTTTATAGCAATTAAATCAGTTTTCACAGTCTCCAACTGCTCTCCATCAAGTGTTGCTAAATATGACTGAATCTGTAAATGAAAGGACATTTTGAAAGAAAAAGTAAGCATTCCCCATCAAAACAGAGCATTTCTTAAGTGCTAATTTGGAGCCTGATACCAAAACAGGCTAGGAAACAGAAACTTCCACTATGCTCAAACCTTCCATTGTAGACACATTTTTAGTTCTCATCAACAAAGTTTGTCGAGTACCACAAAAACTACACCAGCCTTGCAAGATCATCAGGTCTCTACCTTCTCCCAGAACATTAGTTTTGAACTATAAATCTACGGTGTAACTGCAAACTGCAGTAAGCACTTGAGGATTTCTTGGATGAAGACAGCAAGCAAAAATAGCACAGGCAGAGTTCATGCTTAGCCTGAGCAGTCACAGGAAGAGCTGGAAAAAGAAAACTGTCTCACCTTCTGCAAAATGCAAACAAAATTATTGACAGTCTACCGGTTCTGAAGAACATATTGACAGGTCTTTGCATGTCTCAGGGATCTGCAAGTTCCTGCATATCTAACATGTATGCATGTCTAAGAGGGATGGAAAGAGATTCTTTGAATTGCTGTATGTCTGCACTACAGTTGCATGGTGTTAAACCCATGATCACAGTCTCTGCCTATGGAAGCCAACAGAAATGCCTTCTCCCCTTTGATACAGAATGTTACATTTGGGTTTGTTTCAGGAGTGTTTTTTTTTTTAGACCTTGCTTGACAGACGTGCAGGCTGGCTCAGGAGAGAGACTGGAGGAAGATACTATTTTCTTACGTTAACTTCTTACTGCTCCTTCATGTGTCCAGCTCATATGCTCAAGGTTAAATGCAAGGTAAAGCTGGAAGACCTGATTCAGACTGTGAAGGACTTTTTGGCCCCTCCCTATAACATTACGCATTTTATAGGATTCACTGTGAACTTTTTTTAATGGAAACTTTTAAAATAAAATCTTAAAAATATTCTAAAATCCCTGCTATTAGAAACACATTGGACATTAGCAGTGCCTTCAGTCCCTTGCACTCCTCCTGTGGCTTTTGGGCTGTCAGTATAGGTCTCATGCTTACAGTACTGTATTTTGTGCATGTGTGCATGTGTGTATGATTTTTGAAATATTTATCAAGGAATTGGACTTGCGTAGTAGGTCTGCAATTCCTGCCTGATACAAAACCGAATGACTTCAACTTCCTTGCAAATTCTGAAAACATCTGCATAATGTCACAAGCTGATAAATACACATTAAATATGATCCTAACAAAAGTAACTTTAAGTTAGGAAGCTGTTTGAGTTAATCTTGGGGTTAAATTTTAGATGTATTTAGACTGATTTCCTGAAGCCAAGGACTGGCCTTTGGGACCTATCCAACTTTCTTTGAAGTTGATGGAAAACTTACTGTTCATTTCACATGCAGCTGCAGAGTAAAACTAATGTAAAGATCTATTTTTTCCCGACCATTTTGATTTATGCTGTCTGCATACTGTACCTGAGCTTCACTTTCATTTGACAGGATTTCCAGAGCTTCAAGATGAGACAAACCTTGAAATTCATCAAAGAGTAGTCCATAATGGGCTGTTCTTTCAACTGTAACTTGCTGAGCCCTCCTCTGTTTCTCTTTTTCTTTAGCTTCGCGCAACAGCTGCAAAAACACACATCATTTCTGTTGTTTTATGGGTAGTGCTGTAGGTATGACAGGTTTTATTACTTTCTGGTTCTGCATGTCTAAAGTAATAAAATTTGGGACTACATCACACATGCAGAGGTGACATTTTAGAGCGGAAATATCTAACTTATTTTTTTATGAACTTCTCTAATAAAATATTTCAGTAGTATTCTAAGTGTGTTTTTCCCTGTGGTAATTGCTAATCATCAAATAATCTTGCTTATGTCCTCAAAAGCAACATCAGCTACAAATACATATAATGGATTTCTTCATCAATTACAATAAAAGAAAAATAAGGACAATTCCATACACAGCCTTAAAGAGTCATGTAGTCCATTCCACAGGCCACAAAATGGGAAGAATATTATTTTTAGGACCTAACTGCATAAGTAATGCACCTACATAAATATTTCCTATAAAATATTTTTAGCAGATACTAAAGTCAGTTTTATGTGACAGCAGGACTGACAAAAGAGATTGGCCTAGTAAGGTATGACTTTTACCAAAGGGGGATGTTTTAGAGTGGTCTTCTTATACACTGCTATTAGTGTATTGGAAGGATAGATTACTGTACAGAATACAATCTCCTATTCCTTCTAGTCCCAGTAAGAAATGGCCTCTTGTATAAATTTGCTACAGTAAAGCTGGTAAATACATCTGAACTGCATCTTAAGCCTCTGAATGCAGGTAAACTCTTTCCACTTACACTAGTCCACAATTCAGAATTTCTATGATATTGTCTTTGGTTATTAATTTGTTACAAAAGATGTATGATGGCAGATTTTTCAGTCTCCACCTTCAAAAGATCACTCACAAAGTTTTATGTACAAATCACTCAGAAGGAAGCATTGTGTTATGCTACCCATGAGAACTGATTTATGTCCCTTTCTGTCTCAGATTCTATGTGTGAATTCACGCACATCGTTTAGGAAGGCATCCTTAAAAGCTCATTTTAACCCTGTAGACCTTAACAGGAGTTACTTGCTTTTGGCCTGCTACAATAGTATTTATTAGTCTGTTCACACTCATAATCATAAACATTAAAGATGAAACATCTCATTACAAAAAAAAAAATCTTACTCCTCCCTAGAAAGAAGTAAACATGTAGCAAAATTACAGTTTTTTTCAATGTCTATTGATTTCCACAGCCTCTCTCCTCTCAGTGTCTGGAGAGCTAAAATAATTTTGTACTGGCAGCACTTATGCTTCTATTCTGTTTTTATCATGTCCTTGAACTTTCAAACATATGAGTCACAACTATGTAAGAGTACTATTAGTTTAGATTAACATTAAGATAGAACTTTTCACAGCTTTAATTCATAAGGAAACATATGTCATATTCCAGTATTACTCATTTCCAAGGACAGTACTATACTGATGTTTATGCTGGAAGGTATCTGTGTAGAGCTGATACAAAAACATGAACAATTTGTTTCTGTCTCCAGAGTGTAATGATTTATCACCACATATACTATCTTATTAAAAATCTGCTATTGCACGTGTGATTATGCAGAAAAGATGATTTTGCATTATCTTTGGTGATTTTGTGAAGAAAACTAAAGTGAAGAAAATATAAAGCATAATACTTATTTCCATAAGCTTAGCCAGCATCGACTACAATAAATAAAGCCTCTCCCTGAGGCACCTAAAATTACGGAAGAAGAATTGACAGAGCTGCATTTAAATACATCCAACCTGAGAGAGAGAAACTGTTCTTGCCATCAGTGTTTTGGTTCTCTTAAATCCAGGATCGCTTTCTGCAAGGACATTCATGGTTGTCTTCCCAATGAATTCCAAAGCATCTAAGCCTCCAGATAAAACACTTTTCCCCTGTACAAAATAACACAATGTGGTTATTTTCTTTCCACTTTATGCTAATATGAACTGTAAGAGTATTGTTTTTGCCAACACTGTTTTTGAACATTCAGGTCCCTAGATTTTCTATGCTTTAACTAGTAGATATTAGAGTGATAAGGCACTCAGAGTGAAGTGGATATGCACTAATAAAGGAATTGCACTTTGTAAAACATGCTCAATAGGGAGTTAGTCTTCTATGCTTTTTTAGCCAATGGTTAAAGTCTCTTAAAATTTCAAGGGAAACACCATATGGGAAAGATCAGAGGAAAACATTTGCTGTGATAATGTGTGCAAAAACACTGGGGAAGAAAATGACACAAAAATTGATTGGGAAACAGTATGGTACAGGATTTTGCAAAAGCTGCAACACAGAAAGTCAGAAAAGGATGAAGTGCAACACACAGAAAATGTATGGAGAGTTTAAAAGGGAAGGACCATGGACAAAAGATTTTGCCTCACTGAGTCTGCAATCAGACCACCTTCTGTGAAGATTAATATGAAATGAGACACTAGAAAGAGAGGTGAAGGTAAGGGCCAGGGACTAACAGCAGAGTTTAGTAAAAGCCTTAATATAAGTAAATAGAGTATTTTCTTATTTGATCTGCCTTCAGAAATGATAACAAATCTCCTGGTAACTTTCTCTGGAAGGATTTAACTGTAAAAGAAAACCAGATGATGGTACCATAACTACAAAAATGATTTATAAAGGACTGGAAAAATCTGACATAGTTTAGGAGAAGATCATATTTTTCACTGAGACTTCTTCTGTACTTTCAGTAGTTATTACTTTGGTGACAAAGTAGTAACTTGATTGTTCTGAATCGGGTTTTTTATTATTTGATACTGTTATTTTGCCATGGAAGAGACTCTAAACAGACTTAAAACATAACTGCTTTTACAAAGACCTACAACTTAACCAATGTGATCTACAGTGAAGTTGCACCTCAAAATGATGAAGAATAACTAGAACAGAGAGGCCAGCTAAAATGACTCACTGTGTTCTGAACAGCATTAGTGATAGCTGACAACATGCCACGAGATCCAGATGAAGGAGAAGAAGGAATATTCTCAGAAGAGCTTTGGTCCAAAGTATCTTCTGCTTCTAACAAAAGGAAAAGAGCAAGCATACAGCATACTTTCAACTCTACAAGTCCCAAATTACAGTAAACTAGATTCTGTGGTCAAAACATTAAAATTCTGTAAATTGCACTAATTTGGCGATGTCAAAGAGTTTTGCCAAAATTCAGTGAACTTGAACTCACGTGTAATTGGTGTTTCAGCTGCAGGAGACTCTGCTGTTTCTGAAGATGCTGAACTTGTATTATGAATTCCTAGGGTAGATCCTGCTTTTTCCTTTACTGCTGTTAGCCCATGACCTGCAGCAGAAGCATATTTTAGATTACATTATTTGAAAATGTTTTACTAACAGTGCCTAGTATTTTTATACCCCATGAATGATGACAATCAGAGTAACTATTAAACTTACCCTATTGCTTAATTTTTTAATAGGTTAATAATTCACTTGTTCTTCTGATTAGAAATGATAAAGCTGAAATATCCTACAGATGACACTTGATCTGAAAAGCAAAACTTGTTTCAGTGGCATATGTAAGTTTAGTTCTCTGCTTTTCAAAATGCTAAATATTCTATTGCAACCAGTTTAAACAGAAATTGATGGTCCTCCTAATGCCATAGTTTTGGCCTAATTTAGTTTTCAGAAGTCTGGAACAATTAAGCCACAATTAATGGTCTGTGGGTGACTGCAGGGCTGAGGTAAGGAATCTGTTATTCAGTTTGCTGCATAGGTGCTATGTTAGTTGTTTTCGGAATACTGACCCAGGCCCTCAAAGTTATTGCAGGATTTAAGCTCCTCAGTTACTCACTTGAAGTCAAATTCTGAAGTGTCTCACCTCAAAGCTGCTACTTTAATGTACTTCATAAACTGCTGGTGTCAGATGACAGAACTATTGTTCCAGTGGCTGCTGATCTCCCACAGAGTTTTTACCTGACCCTTACCTAACATAGTGACTTCCTAAGTCTCTGTTCTATAAAAATGGTCTAGTTTAATGTACAGAATATATATTATTAGGGTTTCTATCTGAATAATTTTGATAGAATAGGATTGCTTTGCTGCTTTTCTACACAGAGTTAATTTACACTAGCAGATCCTACGGACTGGTAGTATCCCACTATAGGATAGGGTGGATTGCCTGTAGCCTGTGGTTGCAAAAGGAAGCAATAGCTTCCTAACCTTCATCAGATGTAGCTGAAAAATGCCCTTAAAAAAAGATTACCCTCAAATTGCCTCTGGGTATGTCTACAAGTTATGCTCCTGATATGCTTCTCCCATTACAAATGATCCAGCTAGTACATCTTCCTTAGTTGTAAGTTTCTGCACATCAGCTGAGATGCAAGAAGTAAACAACCAACCAACCAAGCAATATTTCTTTCCAACACAAAATGAAATGGCTTCAGCTACCCTGTGTGATTCTTTCTTGCTCAGTACACTATTACTGCATCACACATAAAGCTTATCACTTCTAGCAGCAGGGCAACAACTATCTGCCTAAACACTTGTAAGAAGTATTAATGACAATTTCATACTTCTTTGCTTTGTTACCTTAAGCTGAAGTGCTAATAGAGAAACTATTCCAGAAAAGGCATTAAGGCAGATGCTCATGCAGGTACCTGGACATATCAGGCACAAAGTCAAGCACATCAATTAATTAAATGTTGTCCATACTTTCCCACAATTGGGGGCACTTTCTGTTGGGAAGTTCAAAGCATTTTTCTGAGTTATATTAACTACAGCAAAGTAAGCTATCATTTGCCAGTGCTCTGCAGTGTTCTAATAAACATACACATAAACATACAAATATGCTTTTGAACATCTGATCAAAGAAAAATGCAGCAAAACTATTTGAAATGGAGTAGGAAGAAGGAAAGCTTAGGTTTATGATTGTATGGTTTCCAGATGGATTGCACATCAGGTGCTCTGTGAATTCAGTAATAAATATGCTCTAGAAAACATATGTGAAGCAACACTACTGAAAGATCACATACAAGAAAACTGGGGTATCTGGAGGTAAATACAAAGAACAAAGATGTCCCCCAAGGAACACACAAGCAGAAACAAGTAATTTTCTGTCAACAGAAATGGGGTCCTGATGTTTTACACTGAAACATAAAGACTAGGCAGGTAAATGCTTTTACCTGTTTAAAGAAAATATGACCTTTGCTACATTATCTCATGTCTTACAAAATGTAGCAGTCTGTCCAATCCGACACCACATGCCAGGTTATGTACCACGGGGATTTAACTCTTTGACGGATAACTTCTGGCCTTTTGCAAAATCTGTTCCAATGCAGATACTGGAGAGCAGAGTACTACTTTATCTAATCCCAATCTTCTGCACATTTTAATTGATTAAGTGAAAATATTAGCATGAATAGATTGAGCCATTTATTTACATATTCTTGAGACTCAAATAATTATTAATTGTGCTTTTAAACTCATGTAATAGATGTTCCATATCAAATTCCTTTCCATTTCTCTTACTCACAACTTTTCAAATGAGCAAAAGAGTTCTATTCTTTCCATTGACTTAATTTTTCTTGAGGTCTTGACTTGCTAATAAAATACTATTGTCCTGTAATTATATAAAAAGAAAACTATGAACATTAAGCATAAATTTGTTTTTAACTGTGTATGAAAGTTACAGATTTTCAGATTAATTTCCCTTCCTTTTTTTTTTCCTGTACCTAAAAATGTTTTTTGTTTTTTTTTAATATTCTGTAATTTGGTTCTCATAGTTCTGCAGACAATCTCATACTTCCAAGAAAAGGAGGCACACAGTTGCTGTACTGATATTTACAGACTTACAATAGGTAGCATTTTCAGGGCTGTGGTTACATTCACTATAATGATAAGAAAACACCTCAGGTCAACTAGGACTAGTTTTGCTGGAGTAAGCTGGATGGCACGTATGTTTGATAACAACAACAAAACTGGATGAGATCAGAAGACCACAACTGAAGCATATCAGCATATCAGCTACATACACATACATGCACAAACACAGCAGATGCTCATGTTGCTTTAGAAATTAAAATTATTACTTGTAATTTAAAAAGGCACAGAAATAAAAGAGGTTATGGGAGATGAGGCTACATTTTAGAGAAGAAAGTGCACTGGTTTTGTTACACTGGGTGTGATAACACAACAGAGTTGATATTGTAGACTTAGGAACACCTCCAACACCTCCATTTCTCATGCCACTCATCAGTGGCAGCAGGGACAGAAGAGTTATGCAGTGGATATTACATGCATGCTTTTTGAAGAAATTACATGCATTCTTTTTGAAGAAAGCGTGCCTTTTTCCCTGTGTTGCTTTTTTTTTTTCCTTGCCTACATGATTTCTTTTCCTTCTATTGGCTGGTGATTTCAGCAGAATGATGTTCACCTTGCTGGCTGGAATCTTTAACTTGAAAGGGAAGATTTTACAAGCAGTGCCTAAAAATGTGGCCTGACTTTGAGTGTGCCTGGTCTACTCAAGGCCAGAATGCAGCACTCACAAATGCTTTAGTCAGATAAATCCAACTTCAGGCTCTTTTATCTTCCACCTCCCAGCTTAGTAGCTTTGGATTCCCTGCAGAGCTGAAAGAGGCCAACAGACACCTTGGAGGCAGTTCAACACGCCTGAAATCTAAACCATTCTCAGAAGGAATCGCTGTCCCTTGTTAATCCAGTACTCCCAGGCTATTGGATGCCCTGATTCAATGGTACAGATGGAGAAGAAGACTTTGAGATTTTGTCCCTGGCTACCACAGAGTCTTCAAAACCTGTCTTGCACCACAAGGGCACTTCTGATGAGCAAGTGATCAAACTTCAGTCAAGTAATATGAATGAAGCTTCAACTGGTTTGAGCTAAAGATGAAGATTGAGGCCTTAAATTAGCATCTGACACTGAGAAACAGATGAACGTGAAAAATGGCTGGTGGGGGGGGAATCACTCCACCATATGAAGCATACATACGTGGAAAAGCCAGCTGTGTTCTAGTTTTGTACACTAAAAAGTGGGACACCATTATGCTCACTTTGAGGCTACCCTATTGGTAGTATTGGAGTATTTACTCCAAGGCTTTGCTTTACAAAAATCCTCTTCCTTGTAGTTAAAACAAAACCAGAGACTAGATTCTGATTATTCATATGCTATTCAGTCTGTAAAACAGGAGTAACTCCAATTCAGCTAGTAAATGAGACTAGTTTCAGATCTCCTTAATGCAATGGTAAACGTTTCAATAATGGCAATAGACTATTGTATATAATTGTACTATTGCTACAAGTATACAAGCTGTTTTTAAAAATGGAAGAGATGAGCTTCAACTACAGAGTGAGAATATATTATTCCTCACTTTTTTTTTATCACCTGGGAATAACAGGTTTGCTGTTACAGCTAAGATGACCTAATGGCTTCTTGGTGCTGGTGTGGGAAGTTCTGCTCCTTCCATTTTCCATTTTTATCCCTTCTGCTTGCCTTGGCACTTTTCTCAGTGAGTTATTTCAATGAACTGAAGAGACAGAAAATGGATTTTTCTTTCCTCTAGAGTTATTCTTATGTCAGTTTAGCTTCCTGACTGGATTACCAGGAGCTCAGAGGAGCATGAATGCTGGCACAGGAAGGGGGAAGAAATATGCCAGGAAAAGAAGTGCAGGACTGCACATTTCAGTGGCTGCTACCCATTAGATTGGCTTAGCTGTAATGGTAACCCACTGTTAGAGCAGAGTTTTATCAACACTCTTACTAAAAGACTGGATGGTGTAATTGCTGATTTACTAAAAGATTCAGTTTAAAAGAAAGAGAGTAAAATGGTAATGGTAAGTACAAGAACTTGTGTCTCCAGATCGTAGTGACACTGTTTCTCCCGTCTCATCATCCCAGCAGCTATTTCAGTGGATCTACTCTACTGTGGCTCCACAAGGAGGGAAACCAGATTTCCTGTACCTTTTAAAAACAAAAGAAAACTTCACCTCATTAATGAGACACATTCAATAACTTTCTTAGTGTGACATCTAGTGTTAGACACTAAGCATGGTTCGAGCAGTGACTACTACTAATCCAAAGGCATTACAGATTCTGTTGTGTAGGGGAGTATCACACCTGCCTTGTGGCTGGGACCTTGATCCAAGTAATGTCAAAATCAGTTCTAAGACAACAAATCTTTTCTTTAGAATCCAAAACCATCTCCAGAACAATCATTGGCTGTATGTGCAGAGTTAGCTAAAGAGAAATAAGATACAAATTATATGGGAACTAACTTATTATTAGAAACTAAAATCAGCTATGCTAAACAAAGTACAGCCATGCAGTAAAAATGCTAATCTGTTTGGGAACAATAAATCAGGCTTTGAAGAATAATGAAATGACATGATGACACCTTCCATTAAAGCAACCTGGTCTAGTGAGAGTGTGCCCATAGCAGGGGGGCTGTAACTACATGAGCTTAAGGTCCTTTCCAACCCAAACCATTCTGTCATGATTCTATGAAACCAAAATCCTTGAAACAACCATTTCAGGCCAGTCCTAAACAGAAAAGACTGTAAGAAAGAAATTTTTTACAGTAAGAATGATCACTGGAACAATCTCCCCAGGAACATGGTAGATTCCCCACTGCTGGAGGTTTTCAAGATGTCACTGGACAAGATGCTAGATAATCTCATCTAATTCTCAATCTAACCCTTTCCCCCAAAAGCCTGGACTAGATGATCATAGAATCAGAATGGTCAGAGTTAGAAAGGACCTTAAGACCATCTACTTCTAACCCCCTGACATGGGCAGGGACACCTCACACTAAACCATGTCACCCAAGGCTCTGTCCAACCTGGCCTTGAACACCACCAGGGATGGAGCACTCACAACTTCCCTGGGCAACCCATTCCACTGCCTCACCACCCCTACAGTAAAGAACTCCCTCCTTATATTCAGTCTAAACTTCCCCTGTTTAAGTTTTAACCTGTTACCCTTGTCAATCAAGTCAATGATCTTTCAAGTTCCCTTCCAACCTAGGCTGTTCTATGATACTATTTATTAAAAGCTGAATGTATTTGCTTAGGCCTTTAAGATGTTATCTAGTCTACCTCAAACTGTTTCTGCTACTTTGACAATTTTGAAGAAAAATATAAGGAACAGTAAGTATTTGTCATACTTAACCAGACAAGCAGCTCTGTTGTACAAAGATAATGACAGAGCAACAGAAAAATCACATAATGAAGGTGTTGCTGATAAGCCTAATTCCAAGAAAGCAGCTTTATTTATACCATTTATTACACTGAAGGAATAAGCCACATTAAAATGGACTGGATTGTGGCAAACCTATTTTCTGAAGAAGAATAGGAGATGAAGTGTTGGTTGAATTGCTCAGATATTAAACAGAATAACTTGAAGGGGAATAATAAATATTTAATAATAAGAAGAAAGCTTATAGAAATTCAAAATAGCTTTTTTTTTTCCTCTCTCTGTCTCTCACTAGGAATTATTATACTGAAGCAGATATATGGTATATGCCATTCTACATCCTGTCTATGACAGTGACAGACAGACACTTCACAGGATCAAGCATGAATTTCCATAACAAGCAACAAGGAAATAAGCCCTCTATTTCAGGAATATAAACTATTACCTGCTGCACTGATTTTCTGCAACAAATCTGAGTTTATCTATGTGGTCTCTCAAGTTACCTCTGAACAGGGAATAATGTACATTTGATTTCTGCTTAATTCAAAGTCTATTTCATTTAATAAACTGACAGAGAAAACATAGATCCAAAATTATTAGATAGTAATATCTGAACTCAACCCTACCCTGATCCCCGGGTCAGAAAGTCTATGTTGTAGATTCCAGGAAATGGGAAGAGAAAACTGAGGAAGTGCTGCTTCACATACATCTGAATTTATGCTCTTTCCCAGTTGCTCTTGGCCACTGCCAGAAGCTAGGTAACAGATGGGTCTTCAGTGTCACACAGTGCAACCATTCTCATGTAAAATCAAAATGATTTTTAAATTTTCTTTCTCCTTTTCTGTGTGTTTCAGATGCTGCTTTGCCAAGGCAACCTAACCTGTTCCAACTGTGCTCATTAAATAATTCTAAAAAGATACATACAATATCTATATTCAAAATAGTCACCATTGCACAACCTTATCAAATCAGGCTGTCTAGACAACAAACTTTTTCACATATTTGCACCCTGTGAAGATGGTTATGATGCAAATACAATCAGATGGTATGTTAACGTTTGTCTCCCAAAGCTTTTCTAACACCATTTATCGTTTTCAGGCAAGCTCAGGTCATTTGGGCAAAAAAAATCTATGGCCATACTGTCCACAGAAAATGTATGCACTATGTGACATTAAACTCATTGCTCAGTGAGGCCGAGACTTCAAAGCAACAGAAGACTGCAAGGCACATTGCTGCTGCAAGCCTGCAAGCATAGTTACTGTTACTCACAAACAATATTAGAACGGCCATTTGATGAAACACTATTTATTGCAAAAGCTAAACAGAATATAAATATGGCTATCACACAGGCAGAAACTGAATGACCTGAAAAAACTCTGTTCTGAGAAAACCACTGCTGCAACTATAAAAATAAACTGAATAATTCATCAGCATTACAATTCCAACTGCTCAACAGTAAAATTACTTTTATGCACATAAATTTTCTTCTTTAGCTATTTACGCTAAGCCAGATTCTTTTCAGAATGCTGTTATTAGATAGTCTGAGGATGTAAGAGAGGCAAGGCTCATGAATGGCTGTGAGAGCAGTACCTTTTATTAGACCTACTGATAGTGCTAGAAAAAAGGTGGGTAAAATTTTCAGCACAAGGACCCTTCTTCACATTTGAAAGAGAAGTGCTAGCTTTAAGGTTAAATACATGTTGAGAACGCTCATGCAGTTCCACAGCTAGCTAAGTTGTCCTTGTTCCCATTGGCATGTTCTACATGTTCCTATCATTCCCCATTCAGTAGCATTTGGGTCATCAAATGGTAAACCAGATTAGGGAATTTACAACCGATCCAGCTGAAGATCCAGCTCTTACTTCATCTGTACTTTTCAAAAATCAGTCTCATAAACCAGCTCCTCACATCACTACATGAACACTATTGTTAGCATACCAGAAGGAAGAAATACATTGCTGGGGCAAGACAGACCTGCTCCTTTCAGCAGCAACCATCACTTATGTCAATTTAAAGACATCTTAGAAGCTGATTCTGAGTTTAATTAGATATATTCATCTGATGGACTGTCTGAAAGAAAAGGTAGCTAGGAACTCTTGTGTGTATTACTGAAAAAAAAAAGAGAAGAGAGGGGAAGCTCCCTTATCCCAGAAAGACAGAAGAATAATTTATTGCCCATGGAACAGAGGACAGTAAGAAGGAGAATTATTTACCCTTATAAGGGATTATAAAAACAGTATCTCTGTTGAACCTGTCGCTTTTAGTAATCAGCAATTCATTTTAATTACTAGTTTCATCTTTTAAAAGTGTTTTGTGGATCCTTTATGAGAACTGGTTAGTTAACAGCTTAGTAGCTTTTTTGTAAGGAATGATTTCCCACTGGCAACTAGGTATTTGCATGCTTCACTTTTTGTCTGTGAGTTTCAATGTGTAATGATCAAGTTCTACCAAAAGTCTTCGCAAGGACATACTGAACAGACATACTATTGGAAATGAGAGTATAGGGAGAGGGAGTATAGGATCCATGTTTCAGTACATTGTTCTACTCTCTGACGTTTGGTGTGATGACTTAACAGTTTCACTGGGTGTCACTGAAAGCTGGAATGATTTATGAGCGGCGAATTCATATCGTAGAGATAGAAGCCATGGTGTATAAACCACAAACGGCTACATGCTTGAGTCTTGAGTTGGAGTGCTTTGCTTCAAAAACTATAAGCCTTTGGCTGATAGTAACTGTATCAAATTATGTATCCTTTCTGTGAAGAAGCTACAGTGAGGTCATTCACTAACTTCACAAACAACCCTAGTAACTTTTCCATAACCTGACACCAAGAAATATTTATGCTGTTGACAGTTTAGGAAGGTCCTTCTTCCCACAGAAGAAAAAAAAAAAAAAAAAGGAAATGACACTTGCCAATCATATCAGGACAAAACTGTCTATGAATCTTGAACATACAACAGCAATGTGTCTAACGACATATTATTATTTATTTCCATGAACTTTACTGATTGAACACTTACCCACTGTGGCAGAAGCTGATGACAGGAGAGACTTTCCCCAGGTACCCCAAGCTCCCCATCTACTTGCTTTAGATGAAGAGTCTGTGGCCTGTAAGAACAAAAATATTACTCCACTGTCTAAAGCGAATGTTTCTCAAAGACAGGAGAAAACACAAATAACCTGTCAGGTAACAAAGTCCAGCATCTAATAAGTGATGATAGATTGGGTATTATGTGGAGTTCAAGCTTCTGTGAACAAGAAAGCAGAATGGGAAGCTTAGCTCACATCACCTGTTTTTAAAAGCACCTAAAACACCAGAGATGTCTTTACAGACATCTTAATATTTCTTCAGGTACCTTATTCTATAAAGCCATATAAATTTATTAAAGCTAGTATTAGGGAGAAGCAGGAATCCATCTCCTCCCTTGTTCTACCAGGAGCCAGAGTTAAAGGCTTCTCTGCCTGAGTCTCCTTAGAGGGGTAAGCCAGCAGATGTGCACCCGTAACTCCCAACAACTGAGTTCAGTAAAAACAGACATACGAGGTGCTGCCAGTGTTTTACATTAATGTGTGGCATTCAGTGGTTACCAGTATTCCATATTTAAATCATATTAAGTAACTGTTGTCTCAAGAAAGTCTCCAGTAATGCACCATCCCTACACAATCAATTCAAAACCAAAAGCTGAAGTATGCCAAGGTAGCTCTGCATTGTGCAGCATCAGCATCCACCAGCGATCTATCCCTGTGAAAGGGGGATCATTGGTGGAAGGACTAAAACTTGTCCAGTTTGTGGATTCCTGAAAATACTTCAGTGGAGACGAGAATATCTTCAGCTATGTCACAGGCATTGGATCTGGATGCTGTATAGACCGTAAAAAAGCCTTGGTTTTGGCGTTTGTTTGTTTTCTTTTATTTTATTATGAGAATTTGGGGGGTTTTATTTATTTTATTTCTTTAATTTTTATTTCTTTTATTTATTATTAAGCAGTTACTCACAGGGCTCCTGAAGATCTGTGGGCCACAGATCAAAACCTACTGGCCTAGAACAAATCAAAAACCACTGGCTATTTCACCAAGCCTTGTAAATCATACACGGTTTTTATAAAGTCAGTGACTTGAAAATTAGCACACACAGGATTCAGTGCTTCACACGCAACTTAAATTCTGTCCTCTTCTAGGTTCATTCTGTGAACTGAATGAAGTAGATTTGTACAGAAAACCACATAACAAAATCATAGTAGTATTATTTCTATACAAAATCAGTTAGATTCTTGGTATAGTTTTATTGCAAACAAGCAAGAAAGACCAAATTAATGTCATTCTGGCAAAGAGAAATTCAACTATTTGTAGTTTTCATGCAGGCTTTTTGTATGTAACTCCTTAGGCTTTTGTGAAAAACAGTATGTGCACTGTACAACATTCTGTCCTTACAAAGCAGGGAGGGGAGTGCTTTTATGGAAAAAAAAAAGGCATTACTTACTGGACTGCTTTGTTCATTCAGTGTTTCTTCAGATTCAGGTTCTGCATCAAGGCTCACAGTCTCACTGCACTCAGCTGTCATGTCTTCAGTTGCCTCTCCATTGGAAGGCAGACTTTCATTTAATTTTTCAGTCAAAGGGTTTTCATTAATAAATATTTCTCCTTCCTGTCTATTACTGGCACTCTGAGCAGCCTGTCCATGTTCATCTTGTGAAGACTCATGCAAGATCTCAGCTTCCACAAGGTGTGGTACTGACTCATGAGTCAACACCTCCTTGCTGGGCATTTCCATTACTTCAGGTTTTTCTTCAGGTGGGATGCCATCACATATGGCTTCAGACATTTTCAATTCTGAATACAGAAAATAAATTACATCTCTTAGGTTCCATAAACATTTGAATGACTATCAAATATGCAGCATTTACAAGCTATTGCTGAAAACACTACAGCCTTGATGGAAGGCCTCCTGAAGCATGGAGCCCTGTGGCACATACAGCACTATTCATCTTGCAGGATCTCACTCAAGTATGAAGAGCAGCATCTCTACTCTCCAAAATACGCTTTGGTGAAGGAGAAAGGATGCTCATTTATCAGAGGAGTCAAAGGTAAGAGCTTCCACATGGTTAATTCCTATGTTCTCTGTTAGATGTTCCCTATTACCCGTGAAAGGCCATTGGTGAACAGGATAATCTGAACTGCAATAGCCAAGAACCTCTTGCTCTCCTTGTCATCATTTCCACATAAACATGTTCCTATAGCCTACTGACTGATGGAGAGGAGGATGACAAACACAGCAGTGATACTTACGTGCTGAAGAAAGGGCATAATTTGAGAACATGACAGGCTGTGTTCCCTGCAGCCATTTCGTAGATAGGAAGCATTCGTTGCTTACACTGTTTCTACATCACTTGTCTCAAAGGCTTACTGTTTGGGGAGTGCAATGCTTCTCACCTGCTCCTAAAGTTCCATCTGTGTGATTAAACATCACTTTTGAATCCAAGGTAAGCTTGCACGAGGTACAGTTATTGATTTTTATTTTTTCTCATACATTACAAACCAGATTTCTCTTATTTACTCCTTATCTTTCAATGTAACTTATTTTTTCTAAGTATTTTCCATCACTGTGCAGTCAGCAGGCTGAGGATTCAGGAAAGGGAAAGAAATGGCCAACTGAAATGAGCAACTGATTAAGGAGTGGCAATGACAGAATCCAAAAGGGTTACTCTACAGTGATTACTACCACTTACTTGTTGGCATCGACAGCATGCCTGCCACTGTGAGGACAGCCCTTGACAGAGAGTTGTTATTGCTAGCTCTTGATTATATGCTGAGTTGCACAGCATAAAATAAACTCACACAACACTATCTGTAGGTGTTGTCTTTTCACTGACTCCCATATTAAATATGGTTCAAAGCTCTGTACTTTTAGGAAGGACTGAGGTTCTAAGAGAAACTCAGGAACAGGAAAAAAGAAAGGTAAAAAGCAACGTATAACTGGGATTTAAGAGAAATCTGCCCTTAGTTGTATTTTATTAAAGTCTAGAGAATCATGTACATCTGTGGCTTTAGCAGCCTGTTTATCTAACTGATGTAGATCATCTCTTTGAACAGGTCCAAGAATAGCATTTGGGATCAGTGAACAACAAACATAAACAAATAGGCACTTGGTACCACTCATATTACTTTAGCTTATATTGTAACTTAATTACCTTTAGAAAACACGAATTTACAAGTCAGAACCTTTACATCTGCCACAAGTATTTGCAGTTTTCCATTACAAATACAGCAAATACCATAAAATGCTTTAGCATGGGTAAATATTGCCATTGTTTTAACAGTACTCACTGTGTGATGGGCAACATCACCTAAAGAAAGGTTTTGTGTTTGTAAAACAAATTCCACCTTCAGATAAGAAGATCCTTTTCCGAAACCTGTAATATCAGTACACACATACATCATAATTTTGATGGGGATTGGATCGGAATAAAACAATACCCAACACTGGTACAACTTTTAAAAGATCACATATACCGTGCAGGACTGAGTCACCTTTGGGGAACCACTCAGGCCAAGGTTCCTGCAGATACCTGCTAAACCTTCCTTATGGGAGCAAAGCGCCTAGCAGCAAACTCCTGCATCTGTCAGGAAACACGCCCCGTGCCTGAGCCGGGAGTAAGGCGCCACTCAAGCTGTCATCCGTGAGGCTGTTCTGATCTAAACCAACCCGGACAGCTCCTTACCAAGGGGAATGACTCTACAGATGGCTCATGAGGGAGATGCCGAGGCCAGCTCCGGAGAGGGCTCCGGGCGAGCACCCCTCCCGCAGCCGCCTTGCAGCGGGACCGGCGGCCCCTCATGGCCTCGGTGGCACCTGCCGACCCGCCGCCCGAGTTTCATTCCGCCTTGGAACACAACCCGGACACAACGGGCGCCGGCAGGCGCGACTCAACGCCTCCGTAAGGAACACCTTTCCCTGGCTGTTAGCTCCGCGCTCCCCTGCCGCTCGACGCCCGCCAACACTTCTCCCTCCTGTGGGACGCTGCGGGCGCGGCACTGAGGGGATGCCCCTAGGTCGCCCTCCCACCGCACCCAGGGCAGGGCAGAGCAGAGCAGGAGCAGCCGCTCCCTCAACCCGCAGCGGCCACGGCTTCCCCTTTCCTTTTGTTTAACTTCTCCTTTCGAGATCCCCTCTGGGGCAGTTACTAGTGAGAAGTCCGCAGCCAGCTTCAAAAGCGGCAGGAAAAGAAGAAATCGCCCGACTCCTTACCGCTCAGCAATGCCCGGCCGGCGCACCCCCGACTCCTTTCTCTTCCCCGCCCCGCCACGTCGGCAGCAGAGGGGGGAGGAGGCAGAGCAGGCCGGGCAGCCGGCTGGGCCGCAGGGAGGAGGGAAGAGGGCGGGCTGTCTACTTCGGCTTCTCTCGGGCCCCCGAGACGGCCGGCTGTTGCGAAGGGGTTGTACTCTGCCGCCGGCCGCCTCCAGGCTCCAGGCTGCTGGCCGGGGTGGCAGCACTGACCGGCCGCCATTATTGCCCCTCACTGCCCCCGGCTCCCTTTGGGACACGGGCGTCAGGCGGCTGGGGGTGATGGGCTCGCGGTGGGGACCCGCCGGAAGCGCCGGCCGGCAGCAGTGGGCGCGGGTGAAGCAGGGCTCAGTCCTCTGAGAAGCAAAAGTGGGTGGGCGCTGGTGGGTAATGTTAACACTGAGGCGTTTGAAGTATTAATGAGTCACTGAGGTGGCGTCTTCTGTGCTAGAAAGTTTTAATACTTTCTTGAAGCGAGCTGCGCGGAGTTGAGGAGTTAAACAACTGAGGTTTAGCTTTTAAAATTCCACTTTGCACCTTCGTTATGTCTGTGTTCACAGGAATTGCGTCTGAAAGAAAGCGGGAGGTGCGTACGCATGTTGCCAGTAAGCGTTAGCACTGGGTGCCCACAGCCATGCGAGAAAGACGTGGCTGAGCAAGGATTGCAGGCTCTTTCCCAACAACCTGTGGTTCTTGCCTCTAATTACCCATATCCGTTACTCCTTTTGCTGCTTCGTTTCAAGGCAGAGCATGCCCTTTGTGGTAAAAGGCAGTTCCACCATTTATCATAGCATCCTTTCTGTCACCCATCTTCTTTGGCTGAAGAAATACTGTTGCTACAGGAAGCAAAATAATACATGTTGTGAATCCTTGAGGAGAGCTGCTATGGGAGGGCACAAAATAAAGCCTCAGTTCTCAGAAGCGAGCTTCACAAATACGGATCATGCTACGTGACTTACATGCTTACCAGGCAAGTCTCTGAAGTTTCCCATGAAGGTACGTGGTAGTACAGTAAGTGTTTGTATCACTAAGTAGTAAGTTTGTTTTGAAGGTGCTTCAATAAGAATTTAAGTATCTGGGCATGCTGGTGGTTCTGGGTTAATTTATTAATGTTTAGATCTGTTTACTGAAAATGAAATCTAGAGTGGCCCTGAGGATTTCCCTCTGCTTTTCAGTGGAGCTTCTGGAACAGTAAGGGTAGTTAGTGTCTGAGTGGGAATCACGATAGATAAAGCTCAGTGGCTGGAGATTGTTTTTACCCATGATGAACAGTAATTTTTACTGTAAGTTAGGTCATATACTGCCAGTTTTGCAGATTCTGTTCAAGGCCATGTGTGTTTTAGACCTGCAAGACAGTATTAATCACTATTGTAATCTAAAGTTATTTCTTCATGATGAAATTAACATTGTTAAATGTGTAAATATGTAGTCTATTGGGGCAGAAGGATGTATTTGTTTCTGTCGTGGTTTAAATCCAGCCAGACAGCTTTTCAGTCACTCCCTGCCTTCTTTCCCTCCCTCTGTTCCCGGAGGGACGGAGAGGAGACTCGAAAAGAATGCAACTCCCACGGGTTGAGATAAGAACAGTTTATTAACTAAGGTATAACATAGAATCATAGAATCGTAGAATGGTTAGGGTTGGAAAGGACCTTGAGATCATCAAGTTCCAACCCCCCCTGCCATGGTCAGGGACACTTCACATTAACCATATCACCCAAGGCATAAATCACTACTGCTACCACCAATAATAATAATGATAAAGGAAATAACAAGGGAAGAGAATACAACACCTCACCACCAGCCGACCGATAACTCACCCCCCCCAGCCCAACCAAGCACCAACTGGTATCTCCTCCAACCCTGCAGTCTCCTAGCCCTTCCTGGTAACTCTCCCAGTTACATCCTGGGCATGATGTGCTGTGGTACGGAATACCTCTTTGGTCAGTTTGGGTCAGGTGTCCTGTCTCTGCTTCCTCCTGGCCTCCCCTCCTCCCTGGCAGAGCATGAGGCTCACAAAGTCCTTGGCCAAACCAAAACATCATTGTTATCAGCTCTGTTCCCAGCCCAAAAGTCAAAACACAGCACTGCACCAGCTACCAAGAAGGAGAAAAATGACTTGCTACTGCTGAACCCAGGACAGTTTCCTAAGTCCCTAAATTGCTTTCTTGAGTTTAGCACTTTTATTTTCTAATTTTCTTTCACTTTTCAGTAATTAATTTTGCTTGTATTTGCTCACTATGATAGTATTGCAAGTGGTTTTGAAATAAATGAGCAATAGAGATTGAACACTTTGATACATCTCAGATTTCCTTGAAGTTTGTTATTTACTGTGTCATCATCAGCCTAATGGGTTTCAGAAAAGATACTTGCCTTTAAATAAATAGATAAATATAAAGGAAACATGGAATGAAACAACTATATTTGGCTACTTTTAACAAAATGAAGTATGCACAAATATGTGAGGAATATATTAAATTTTCTTCCAGTGATTGCACTGGTAAATCTAAGTGCAATTAATGGTAATATGCTTATTTTGCTTTTTAACATATGTTTTCTCTACAGCATGTAGGCAGAGCTGGAGAACTTTATGCCAGTGACCAGCTCGCACTGCCACTTAATTGAAGAGATCTCCTTGAATAAGAGTCTCTAATTTACGGCAGTTATTGAATGTTAAGCAAATGTATGCCTGGTTCTGTGTTCATTAGAGTACAGGTAGGTTATATTCATGCAGTTAAACTGTTGCATTCCAAAACAGGAATCAATGTTGGGAGGAAGGAAGCTTTTATCTTTGGTTTTTATCTCATCTTAGGGATGGATAGCAAAATCTTCATAGCAGACAAGGGTGAGGTTTGTATATACCAACATTCTAAGGTGTCATTTGGAAACCAGCTGTGAATACACTTCTCTGTATTGACAGAAATGGAGAAAGAATCATAGAATCATGGAGTACCACTAAAAGGCTCATTGGCATAACAGCAGAGTATCAGTTGTCCATATCAGTTGTCCTGAAGCACCTCCCGTATGAAGACAGGCTGAGAAAGTTGAGGCTGTTCAGCCTGGAAAAGAGAAGGCTGCGTGGAGACCTTATAGCAGTCTTCCAGTATCTGAAGGGGGCCTGTAAGGATGCTGGGGAGGGACTCTTCACTAGGGACTGTAGTGACAGGACAAGGGTTAAAACTTAAACAGGGGAAGTTTAGATTGGATATAAGGAGGAAATTCTTTCCTGTCAGGGTGGTGAGGCACTGGAATAGGTTGCCCAGGGAAGTTGTGAATGATCCATCCCTGGCAGTGTTCAAGGCCGGGTTGGATGAAGCCTTGGGTGGTATAGTTTAGTGAGAGGTGACCCTGCCCATGGCAGGTGGCTTGGAACAAGATGAACTTAAGGTCCTTTCCAACCCTAACTATTCTATGATTCTATTCTATGATTCTATATTCTGTTGCTTAATACACAACCCATCTTTCCCTTCTGGTTTTTGGATGACCTCTTTTCCCTTGAATCTGAGAAATGAAATATGATAAACAGAATAAGCTTTAAAGCAACAAAGTAATTTTAAGACTATTTCCTTTGCTTCCTTAGGCATCAAAATCTTAAATAGTGAACGGGTTATGGTATGCAAACCCAGAAAGGTAGGTTGTAGTGTGGCAATTCTGTATTTAGATCTTGGCTAAGATGGAATTTCTGACCGATATTATACAGAAATAAAGAGAGATACTGGTTTATGTCTTTGCCAGGACACTAACTCAAGTGTTTGGGCATTCAGTTCTGAAGTTGCTGCTCTGTTTTAATTAAAAAAAGAAAAAGAGGACCCCACCCATTGTTTCTATGTCCATTATTTTACCAAATCACAACACTGCCGGAGCAGGACAGTATTTTCCTTTGTAATTAAATGGAAATTAAAATAAGACAAACAGTACTTTTATAAACCAATCTTGATAACTACTTGACAACTAACTTGGTATAGCTAAATGGGAAAAAATAATCAGAATAATGCTTATAGACTTAGATCATTATTAAGTTCAGAGAGGAAAATGTATCAATTCCAGTGTAAAACTTGCTCAGAAGAAGTACTTACTTTCATATAAATTTGATGAAGACAGAAAGTTGGTAAAAAGATTATTTTTCTTTTTTACTCTGCTTGTTCTATTGC